CACCGTGGCAGTGCCATCCCTGGGCAGGTCCTCTTTGGTTGCAGAAGAAAGCAGGATGAACAAGCCAATAAGTAGCACTCCTCCATGGTTTCTGTTGCTGCTTCTGCTTGAGTTCCTGCCTTGGCTTCTCTCAGTGATGGACTGTGATGGAGATGCATAAGCCAAGCCAGCCCTGTCCTCCCCAAATTGCTTTTGGTCATGACGTTTAGCACAGCGATCGAAAGCAAACTCATTCTCCCAGCATGCTTGCTTTGAGGTTTAAGATGGCAAAGATACATTAGTTGTATCTTTTCAAAACCAATCAAGCTTGAGTTGGCACACTCTATCATACTGGCATCCCTGGGGGAGAGGGAGGAAGGCACCTGCTGGCAAAGGTGAGGTTATATAGTAAGGTGAGGGAGAAAGACATATCGTGTGTGTGTGTGTGTGTGTGTGTGTGTGTGTGTGTTGTGTGGCTTCTCCTGCAGAGACAGGAACAAATGTTCATTCAGCCCACAGAGCCCTGATGGTAAAGAATAATTACACCCAAGTCTAGCTTGGAAAACCAGTGAGTTTACTGGGGTTCCTCCAGGACCATGGGTGATTTAAAGGAAGCTGCATCAAGAACACCATCCCTGAGGAGTCTTCTCTCCCCGGCTATTAAACTTGGCTAGAAATAGCTACACAGAAATCTCTTTCCTCCTTCCCATCTCTATCTGTGTTTGTGTTTAATGGGTGGTTCATTTTAAAGTAATTGTTTCACGTGCCTGGTAAATCAGTAATGTGCTGTTGGAGACCTGGGGAAGGTTGAGTTTGAGTCTGAAAGCCTCCTGCTGCTGTCATTCCCTGTTCTTCGTGGGAGATTCGTCTTTGTTCTGTTTGAACCTCCATCTGATCCGATCAGTCTGCCCACAGATGGGCATCCACTTGACACAAGGTCTATGGCTTTAAATATTGATTGCAATTTAAAAAGTAACTCCACAGCAAGCTCTAGAATAATCTTTGGCAGATGCCTGGGTTCTGTGGTGGCTGGCTCTTTAGCACAGACTGTTGGCCGCTATGGAAGTGAGAAAGTCATGACAAGAGGTCACTGGAGCTGCAGGCTTGCTACACAGGGCAGTCAGACTTTCATCCTGACCCTACCCTTGCCCACTCAGTGATCTCCAGCAAACCATGTGTTGGGTACCAGTTCGCCTCTGAGGCGCTGGAGAACACAGGTGAATGAACCCAGGGCGGGGTTTATTGTAAGCTCTTGGTGCTAGCCGTGTAGCTAGAGTTCTGCATATGGAACATATGCACAAGGGAATGGATGGGGGGATGCTCTAAAGGTCTGTAATTCACAGCAGGTATGAGCTGAGTGGTTGATCTGGCTTTCCTGTGGCCATGAGGCTGCGTATCTGAGTGTCAGCAGTCAGTGCCCTTTGGATCTGGAGGTGGAACCCTTTCTTCTTCAGGAAGCCTGCTCACTGCCTTCTCCTGGTCGCTTCCTTTATGCCTCCCACTCACCATCTTAGTGTGTGTAAACTGCTGGCAACCCGTTTTTTCTTTTCGCATCTGCTCTCCTGAGAAGGATTTTCCTATGAAGGTCCAGAGGAAAACCGATGGTTTCCTGTGGGGATCTGGCTTCTGTGTTGGGGAGCTTTTCATTGAATGCAGTGTTTATCTTTCCAGAGGAGCCCTGCCTGTGATGGGATGGCAGGCCCTTCATTGTACAGAGGAAACTTATTTACACTTGGAAATTGAAAAGGGCAAGTGCTGGAAGCTGTTCTGGCTTCTTTGATGTCAGCACTTTCTCTTCTGGGATTCAGCGGGGGGGGGGGGGGGGGGGGGGGTATGTTACTTCTCACTTACAGGCCTCCCAGTGCCTCCTCTCTCCTTCCCTGCTCTGTGCCTGTCTTTCTTGTCTCCCTCATTCTTCTCCCGTTCCCTGTACTATGGGGGAGGTATACCTTTTATATCTTTTAGCAACAGCTGCCTCTGGCCACCCCCAAGGCTCAGAGCAAGGTGGGACCACTGCTCAAATCTTTATTGCCTGTTTGTGCAGTTTACCCTCTCTCAGACTCTCCCTGGGGAGGGTTTCCCGGGAGAGATCTATTTCCTTGGAGGTATGCCTTCTCCCATGTAGCAACTGTCCAGCATGTACATAGACTGGGAAGCCTTTGGAAGGACTTTATTCAAATAAAACCTGCTAGCGGCCAGCAAAAGAGCGCAGCAGGTAAAGGTGTTTGCTGCCAAGACTGACAGCCTGAATCTGATCTCTGGAACCCACACTGCAGGAGAGAAGCGATTCAGGTCATCTGTCTCCTGACCTCCACAGGTGCGCCATGGCACATACTCACCCATACACGGACATACAAGTGCATAAATAAACGCAATACAAACAAGGAAATAAAAAGCTGGATCAGCTAGGAGGAAAACCTAGCATCCTATTGACTTCTAAATATTGAGCTCGCTCCCTTACGTGGTCAGGTTTATCTGCATAGAAAGGACTTACAGCCACTGGCTCTGCAAAGCAGACACGGGCCTGACACCTGGTTGTCTGGGCTAGTTCCAACGTTAGGGAGTCAGCACTCTGTGCACCCCGCTACCACCACCCAACTCTATTTTCCAGCTGCTGTTTGGTCTCTGAAAGCTATTAGGAAATTGTATTTGAAGAAATCGTGGTGAACATAGAGGAGCATGGTGGCACATGCCTGTAATCCCAGCACTCAGGAGGCAGAGACAGGAAGATAGGCATAGGTTTGGGGCTGGCCTTGTGAACTATTCTGAGCTATAAAGTCCCCCTCCCCATCTCGAAACACCAAAACAGAACATAGTGACAAACCTAATCCCAAATATAGGGTAAGGAAATATTCTCTGTGGAACTCTTGAGAGTAAGTGCCAGGTTGGGAAACTGAGGCTTGAGCTAAGAGGAAGTTAGAGATGACAGCGCCCTTTCTTCTAGCGTCTCTACACCTTGCTGTTCGAAATGTTCCAGGTTGTGGAGGTGCTGCACCCAGCTTGAGCAAACGTTTTGTTTGTTTCTGAACTTTACGATGATGTAAGACTAAAAGTATCATATGGGGTTGAAAAGGTGTGTTTGTGTACTTGAACAAAAGGACGTGTAAATGTCAGAGGAAGCCCATGGCACCCCTGGGCTTGACTAACGGAGGACTAACAAAATAAAGCGAAAATACTGTTCCTTATGCCATGGTTTCCTGCCCTGTTGTCTCTGCAGGCCGCCAGCTTCCTGGAGCCGAGAGGGCCTCCACGGCTGCGGCTGAGGAAACTGACATTGATGCTGTGGAGATTCCACTCCCTGGGAATGACATTCTCAAGTTCAGTCGTGGGGTGACGGACCTGGATGCTGTAGGGAAGGAAGGAGACATAGACTCTACGGTAGGTGATCCTCTGAGCAAGCTGTGTGCCTTATGGCTCCCCGGGCTGCAGCTTCAGAAGTGAGGTGCCCTGTCACCCAGTGGCAGTGCTAGAGCATATTTTGTCACCTTTCCCAGAGGTCTGACTTCCGCAGGTTCAGCATCCACAGGCCAGCACACATGTGAGGGTGCTTTGGAGCTTGTGTCTGAAGCTTATTGCCCGCCTGGGGGATCCCTTCAATGTTCTGTCCCTTTCTCCATACACAACAGCGTCTTGTGATATTTGTGCAGAGCCCACCCAACAGACCCATGTGATGCAGATAATCACATGACTTAGCAAAAAAAAAACAACAACAACAACAGTCTGTTTGAGCCCTCTCGCCTCATCTAGCAGTTGTGTACCTTAAAAACTCCTGTGTAACAGCTCTATTGAGTCTGGAAACTGGCCCACGGCATGTTAGAAACTGAGACCACATTAAGGGAGGCCTCATCACCCCAGCCCGGCATTCCACGGGTAGGACAACTAAGGCATCGGGAGCTTCTGATACGATCCATGAGACAAGCCCCGAAAGCCCCAAGACTAAATTCAAACTTAGAGGCAACTAAGCTAAGGAAAATAAAAACTGAAAGGGAAGTTCCCGACCCTTGGGTTCCCAGGAAGCTCTCTGGCACTTTCTATCCTCCAACTCAGATTAGTCCAGTTCATGAGGAAACGCCTGTGGACTTTGGCGGGCAGTGCCAAAGTTTTCTCTGCTGCCCCATGACCTCACTCCTAGGGGCCATAGGCATTTGTCCCCAGGTGCCTTCTTCCTGCATGTCTGAAGATCAGCAGAGCCACTGGAAACAAAACCTACCTCCCCGGCGTTCAACTCTGACTTACTGGAGCCATTTGTGCGAAAGAGACTGCAGCTGTGATTACCTAGCTAACCGAAGTCCCTCTGGGTCATGTGATGTCCAACTGTTCTTCCTTCACTGTGAGACGAGATGGGAGAGGATGGAGCATCTGACCCCAGAATAGGAAGCAAAGGATAGCGTGGGGAAGAGCTGAGACCGTCTCTCTCTTGTTGCCATAGTAACGTGATAGGAAGCTGTGTACACAAACATAGATTCTAAAGCTAGAGACCCCAATTCAGAAAGGTATATTATTGGAAATGAGGGGTTAAAAAGAAAAAAAAACGTTTTGCCAGCTGCCCGTCTTCTACCCTATTGGCAAATTATGTTCCCAAGGTATGGAGATAGAATTTTCTGGCTCTGTGGTCCAAGCCCAGGTGTGCCAGTATTTTCTCCCTGGAGCTATTCCTGTCCTTCAAGATGCAGCATCTCTAGCACATGGGTTTTGTTCTGCCCATGTACCCATCGCGACCATTCCAGTGAGAGGGAGCTGGCCCTCGGAGGTGGCTTCTGCCTATGAGCCATGTTCTGTCTTTTCTCTTCAGGTCTCACCCAGTCCTCAGGAGCCCATGCTGACAGCCTCACCCCGCATGCTGCTCCCTTCTGCTTCCTCGAAACCACCAGGCTTGGGCTCAGGGACGCCCCTGTCCACTCACCACCAGATGCAGCTCCTCCAGCAGCTCCTCCAGCAGCAGCAGCAGCAGACGCAAGTGGCTGTGGCCCAGGTTCTCCTCAGCCTCCTCCCTTCTTCACAGGCTCCACTCTCATGGGCTTGACGCGCCTTCCCTAGCAAGGGGCTCAGGGCAGGTTTACAACCTAGGGAGCTCTAAGGAATTGCTCATGCTATTGGATCATTGCTTGTTGGGGTTCTAGGAGATGACAGGGGAGGGAGACAGGTGGGAGCTATGGTTAAAATGGAAAAACACATCGGTTCCCCCGTGTATCCCTCGCTCTGAGTTAGGCTTGGCTGGCTTGGCTGAACGTTGTTGGATGATGATTTGAATGTACCAAGGAAAAAGAAGTACGCAGTCCCACCCTCCCTTCCCTACCTTATGTCCTAATGTTTGGGGTGGAAAGGGATGCCTTTGGAGTTAGGACAGGGGTGACAACTCTTAAAACAGCTCCAAGTGTAAATCTGTGACCAGCATCCTTGCACAGACTGCTGCTCAGGCATCCCAACCCTCTTGACCGGAACAGGTCCTCAAGCCTCCATTCGTGACCTACTTATTCCAGACAGTATTTGATTAGGAATTCATTATAATAGCAATGAACTCGTGGGAATTCAGCTAGATGATCTGAGCCATTTGAGAAATGGCTACCTTTTAGCATCTGGATGGAGTTTGTGCCCTGGTGTCTGGTTGGATCGTTGCTGCTTTGGGGAGAGGATTGAACTGATTGCCCTTGCTGCTTTCAGCAGGAATCCCTTCTGTTTGGTTTCCACTGGAGGTCGTTGTCATCCATACTTCCTTGGAGTTTGGTACTTTGAGCCTTCTCTCGATGATGGGCAGGTCAGAGAATGGTGAAGACACATGCATCTGTTCCGTGTAAAAGCTGAAGTATGAAGCCAGAGCCAGGCAGGATCAGGCCTTAGGTGGGTAGATGAAGATAGTCAGGAGGATGGGATGGGATGGTTGGAGAGTTGTCTTTGAAAGGCTACTGTGTGCACCAGTGTTCTGGATCAGATAGGCTTGACTAGGTGCTGAGATTTTCTGTGTTCAGTACAGGAAATAGGCTCCTCCAGGGAGAATTTACTGATCCTTCTGTGCAATCTGCTTCCTCTTCCGCTGACTCCTGGATGAAGTAAATCCCCCAGAAGAGTGATCCTTCCGTCTGCTAAGGCTTGGCCTGAAAGAACCCTCTTGTCATCCAGCCTTCACTGACTGTCCCTGAGGCTGGTGCCTTGTGGGTCACTTTGACTCCACATTTCAGGAGAGCGGAACCAGTGGGACGATGCTCCAAGTGGCAGACAGAGTCTTGGAGGCGGCATGGGGGTGGGAGATATGACTGTGAAATCAAAGGCTACGCCATGCTGGTGGGAGGATTTGCAGGTGTTCCCAAATCAGTGACAGAGAAAAGGGAATGTCATTAATGACTTCTTATATTTGGAGGGGGGAAAACGTTCTTTGTCAAATGAAAGAATCCATCTCTGGCTAATGACAGCATGGCATTCTGAGACTCTCCTCCTCAGTGTGGGGGTTGACAGCAACGCAAAGCCTGTGCATCTCAGCCCCGGCCCATCCCAAGGCTCAGCATTTCCCCAAGTTTCCCACTGAATGTGGATCCATTCTCCGAATGATTCTCTTTCAGCATATCAATTCCCAAGTAATTATTATTTACCCAAGAGTAGGTCTGATGCATATTCATGCTGTCTTATTAGCAAAGGGCATCTGAATTTGAAGTCTCAGCTGAGTGCTAGAGAGAAATCAGTTGCAAGTGTCATATCTACAAGCGGCGTTGTGGCAGTGGAAGGAAGCACTCAGCCTACACTCAGTCAGACACACAACTTGTCACAGGTCAGCCTCCATCAGGGCCAAACCTAAGAGTGGGTTTCTGGCATAGCAAGTATCTGTCTTAACAAAACCTCCCTGCCCTGCCCTATTCTAATTGCCTCTCCCCTAGAAGGCGTTGGATCTAAGGAAAGGGAACCGTGTAGTGTTCCAGATCCCTTTCGTGAGCCTCTCTCTACGTTGTAGGCGATTCGCCAGGTTGGCCAGTCCAAGCCTCTCATTTGCTCAGAATCTATTGGGTGTAGCTGGCAAGTGAGCGGCTGGACCCTCGGCTCAAGCAGGAATACGACAAAAGGCTGCCGTAGGTGACGACTTTGAGCGGTAGACCTTTGAACTTTCCGTCGAACTTGACGTAAGGTCATCTGATGGCTTCTTGAGCATAGTCCTCTACCCTGTCCCTGCCATTGTCCTTAAGTCACTCTCTGGCCACCTGCCTTCCATCTTCATCTTATATCTACTGCCAGGGACACAGGAGGGTACAACTGTACTCTCAGCTGGCCCTTGTCCCCCGTCTTGCAGGTGGGTTCAGTCTTAAACCAGCCTCTGTAGCGCCGTTCCTCCGTTCCTCTGTAGGATTTGATCAAAGGACTTTCTGTCATTGTCCCCATCTTTGGGTCTAAGCAGTTATGTATGGCATGCAAGCAGGCTGATGACAGGGCACCCTGGCATCTACCATGGGCCTGCAACGGACCAGCTGCAATACCCCTGGTTCTTCCGCAGGACCGATTAGTTCCCTAGGGGGATGTCAACTTTCTCTTGTTCTTTCAGCCAGCTGCTGGCATGCAGCAAGGTGTCTCATTGAATCACTCTAGTGGTCCCCAGAACTCAGCAGTTGTAACAGTCATCTCAGGGTTTGGGGTGAGAACGTTTCCCTTTCTCTGAGCTCCCAAACCCTCCTGTATTCCTTCTTAGTCTAAAATCTAAGGGTAAAGCCCCAATTTCTTGCAAATAATGTGTGCTCTTAAAGCCGCTTACTGCATTCTTTATGGCCCCCACTGCCGTGGCTCTCACGCACCCAGCTGATGTGGCTGTTTGCCTTCGGGACCATAGTTCGTTCTTTTTGATGTTGTCGTGACTTTTTCTAAGATCTCAAGCCCTCTTCCAGCCTCACCTCAATTCCTTCAGTGCTGATCTTGATCAGGCCTTCTTTGGCCTTAAACACGTATGAGCAAAGATGGTATTAACCAACTCCAAAGGGTTTCCAGGTCATTCTGCAGTGCGTAAATAGCGAATTACCCTAGTCCCTCGGAGACTCTCCCAGCCCAGCATGAGGCTCGCCTGGCTGCATTAGCTTCCGCTTTTACCTGGACCAGAAGTTCAAGGGTGTGGATGAAAAACAGAGCCACACCTTGAATCGTACCTGGGATGTAGTTGTTGCCTGCATAGCTGCATGCTGGGCCTGCCTGGCTCCAGGACTGTGGCTGATTGACAACAGTTAAGTGGGCCAGACATGTTTACAGTTTGCCAAGCCCTAGCCTAGCTCTTCGGAAAATGGTAGTGAAGCTCATTGTTGCTATTTAAAGACCTCCTCTGCCTGTTGCCACTTCCGCTTATTTAGGAACAAGTAATTTGTTATTTATGCTTTGTGATATTGTGTGTTGTGGTTAGAGAAACAGCGCTGAAAACTGCACCCCCAGCCTGGCCTGCCACGTAGCATTCGTTCTTGTGGCTTCTCCCAGTCCCCAGTCTTGCCCAAGTCCCTGGCCTAATGCATGCTGAGACAGCGCTGCCTGCCTCTGCTTTATCTGGTATAGGGAAGTGGGGGGGGGGGATTGCTCTGGTTATCCCTGCTGCCATTTCCATGTGCCTGCCACTCCCTGACTTCAGCCTGGCCCTGCCCCCACTTCTGATGGAGGAGCTGGAGTCCAGGCAAGTAGGCCGGAGAGTGAGTGGGGCGATGGTCTGAGGTGGCCGGGTGGGTTGAGGGTGAGTGCAGACTTTGGGGAAGTGGTACAGGGCTGGAGGGGCCAGGGTTGGTGTTATACGTGTTGTTCTGGGATTGGGATGCAGAGCTGGATGCCAACACGAAGTGTGGCTCTAGATGCCACAGTGCTGTGTTTGTGCCTCTGGCTTAGTCTGAATGGAATAGTCCATACTCAACGTGCCATGGCTCTGGAGAGGAGATATTCCACAGTCACCTTTTCAGAAAGGACTGTGGTCAGCTGTGTGGGAAATGTTCAATTCTTTGTAAGAAAAGTGTCGAAAGATAAATGTCCGCCACTCATGGGCGTCGGGGGTAGGGGTGGTACCTTCTACTCCTGTCCTACTTGAGAAACAGAGCCCAAGCCAAGGGTGAAGATAACACTACCTCATTTGAGCAGTCCCGTCCGAGTTTAAAGAGCTCTAAGCCGTGCTGTCCTCACTTGGCCTGGTTTGGGTGCTGCAGGCAGAGGTCTGAGCCTCATGCTTGATTCTACTTTGGATGACTGCAGACGCAGGAGGCTCGTTAGTGCTGGCTTGGGCAGTGACAGCGGCGCGATGTTTCTGTGCTCGTGGGGCTTAAAAACACCCGAAATGATACCGCTCTGAGCTGGCAGAGGTAAAATTCTTATGTAATCCGGAACAAGAGGCACTCGCTCTCTGGGGTGTTTGCTCATGGCACTTAATGTCAATGGGTTTTACCAGAAGCATAGTATTCAAGGGTCGTCTCTTGGGTGTTGATGGCACTCCACCTTTGGAACTTGGAAACCTGCCAGAGAGGCTTCCAACACTCCCCTAACTTCTGCAAGAAGGAACCTCTATTTTTGTTCTCCCTCCCAGTTCTCAGATGTCACCGTGGGATCTGAGGACTTTTTTAAGTGTCCTCCAGTGTTTATGACTGTCTGAATGCAGAATCGGCTATCTCAGCCCCTAGCCAGTCCTCTCCCGTGACAGATGGGGCAGATGAAGCCCAGGGAAAAGTGGGTTGTCTCAGGAGTCAGCGAAGACGCCAGCACCCCAGCTGCTAGACTCATGCTTGCTTCCTAATGGTCTATTCTGTTGGGATGCTGGTACCTGCGGGTGTAGCAGGTGTATAGCCTATAACAGATGCTAATTAGTGGTGTTCAGGGCTCTGTGCTCTCTGTTTATCCACTGAAATGCCACCTTCCATATTTCAGTCTTATATTTCTGTTTGATTCCAAAGTAAGTAGAAAGTGAAAGATCTAGTAAGGAGATTGCTTAGATGGTAGGGTCCTTTCCCTGATGCTCTTATTTCATTTAAGTAACAGTACTAGCAGCTAGAGTTTTGAGCTTGCCTGTCCTGTGGGGGTGCAGGTTGGGGCTTCCCATAGCCATTTCCCTGTTTCTTAGATTAGACTCCTGGGTGAAATTTCTCCCGGGCCTCTATTTCCCAGGGAGCTGCAGGTTTCATAGCCACCTCCATCAGAACCCCAGGCTCCAGTGTTACTGACATTTCTTTTCCTGGTCTCGTCCCTCTTGAGAATCTCTCCCGGGAATCTGAAACAGCAAAGGATCATCCTGATGAAAACAAGAGTTCTGTCCTTGGCAGTCCTATAAATGGCCAGATTTTCTTTAGATTCATTAAGTCTCATCTCCCCGGGGAGGATGAGCCCAACCTTGAGGATCCACTAATGGGAAGCATTGGCGAATCTCATTGGTGCCCTTGCTCAGTTCAAAGCAGAGCCAGCTGCGAAGCCAGGCCTTCGGAACGGGGCAGAGAGGGAAGCACCCGCTGCACCTGAGTACAGTCGTCTTAGTACTGTGTCCCGAGAAAGCAGATGCGGAGGCCTGCAGATGCCTTGGTCAGCCTCAGCAACATGGGGATTTCTAGAGAACAGTGGAGGCTTCCCCTCTTCCACCCCACATCCCACCTACCCAGGTTCTTTGTCAACACCATGGTTCGTCTCCAAGAAAACCATCTTTCCTATGCGCTGACTTGGTTCCAAGTGACCAAGCTCATTCATTCCCTTTCTCGAGAGCCTTCCGAAATCCTTCTGATCCCCTTCCTAAGTACAAGAACCTTGTGTCCGTGAACCCCGGCCTTCTGACTATTTTCTTGAAGCTAGCGTCCTGGCTATATGCCCCATCTCTCCCCAGTGATCTCACCTCTATTCAAGGGTTACACACCAGGGATGAGCATGTAAACACCATAAGCCTAGAGACTATTGAGTGTGCCGTGGCTGAACCCGTACCACAAGAAGGATATGAATAGATGAAGTGGCCGCTGTGAACACCAACCTTGGCTTTATATGGCTGTCAGAAGAGCACTACTGTTAGTCACTCAACAAACATTAAACCCCTTCCAAGAAAGAATCGGGGATTCTATGGGTGTCCATTGAGAATAAGAAAAGAATTGAAAGATGGAGAAACTGGTACCCAGATATGAGAAGCCAAGCTTTATTACAACCAGCTCACTAACAGCAATGGAGTTCTACTTCCTGTGTCTTGTTGCACTGATGTTCAGGAAAGTAGAAAGAAAGATTATGGGCTGGGGTGAGGCGTCACATGGTGATAGTCTGGTCAATATATTAACTTTTATATTTTATTTTTTTTATTGATTTTAAGACAGAGTCTTGCTAGCTAGTCCTGACTTGCCTGTAAGTTGCTATATACACTGGACTATCCTCAAAATTCTCCTGCTTCTGTTTCCCAGATGTTAGGATTACAACATGTACCCCACCATACTGGGCTGCTTTTGTTTTTTTAAAAGATATGGGTAATGCTGGGTGTGATGTCACATACCTACTGTCCTAGTACCAAGGAGGAAGAAATACAAGAGCGTGACTGCAAGTTCAAGGCCAGCCTGGTCAATACAGCCAGCTCCAGGCCACCTAGGGCCATATAGCAAGACCCTGTCTCAAAACAAACAAATCGAAGTTAAAAAAAAAATGTGCTGTGTGGGGCCTATGTAAGTTCTTAAAACAGGAATGGAGGGCAGTTTATCTTCACAGACACTGCAGGAAGTGAGAATGTCTTTCCTACTTTTTGCACTTGACATGGGGCTCAGAGTGGTGCCTGAAGTATAGAGAGAAGTCTACAGGGCTGGGGACCTATATTCTCTTGGCCACTTTTCCAACAGTACAATTCTAGGTCCCCAGTTTTTTCCATACAGGGTTTCTTCATCTGGAATTGAATGTGGATAGGGGCATCTCCATCCATTAGCAACTGTCATTTGTAGTAATGCCCCTCTCTTTTTCTTTGTCCCTCCTTCTCTTTGTCTTCCTGCCTTTCATTCTCTGCAGGTTCACTTGCTGAAGGATCAGTTGGCTGCTGAGGCTGCGGCACGGCTGGAGGCCCAGGCGCGAGTGCACCAGCTCCTGCTGCAGAACAAAGACATGCTCCAGCATATCTCTCTGCTGGTCAAGCAAGTGCAGGAGCTGGAGCTGAAGCTGTCAGGACAGAATGCCAGTAAGCTGGGGTCCCATCCAGCCTCGCTCTTCATAAAATAAGTTATTTCCACGATCCGGGGGATGTTTGCTCAGAGCTTTGATGGCACCCTTATAGTTCAATAGAACACAGGCTTCATTGTTACTAGTCTGTACGTTTCATAAATTATAGAATTACAGGGCCAGAGTCCATATTGGCTGCCTTCTATCCACTACCCAGACTTGACCTTGAAGATCCCTAGGAGACACTAGTACATATCTGTCCACTCTCCTTATAGAAAACTCAGTCACTTTATATTCCAAGAAAGCCCATTTCTTTCTCAGAGAGATTTTCCCAAGGAAAATATACTGAGCCCATATGGGGTATCATGTTATGAACTCGGTGGGTTCCCCCAAACTCTTTAGTAGCTGGTTCTCTGCACTATGTAGATGTCCACTTAATTGATAAGGCGGCTGAGTAAATGTGGCTGTATCTAGAGTCTGTGCATAGCCCCTGGTCTGAGATGCTTTGCCATCTGTATACCAGACTCCTCCAAGCTGAACTGGGAAGCAATAGGCAGTCTAGGTCCTGGCCTTTGTCATAAACTTGCCTTTGAGTGGGTTCTAGGCATGCATAAAGCCTGTGTTGACTGTGCACTGGCAAATACCTACCGATCAGCTATTACACAAAGAACTGTGACCGAATTTTTTAATGTGTAAGTTCCTTTATTCTCTGTAGTAGTAAATGCCATCCTGACCATTGCACAACTGAGGAAACACACTCAAGAGAGGTTTAATAAGTAGCTCACACAATTAGCCTACAGTGAGTGGAGACTTAGTCACACTTAAGACTTCACTGCAAATCTGATGTTTTTCTGGTTCTACCATTGGTTTCCTAATAGCTATCTATCTAATAGCTATTTCGTAATAGCTCATAGCTATCTCATAAGTCCAGCCTATAGGGACTTCTCATCAGTGGTCAGAGAAAGGGCTGGGGGTCTAAAATGTGTGTAACCCACTCTGGTGTCCAGATTCTCTTGCAAGGTTCCACTATTACCCCATACTTGAAATGTGGATGGGTTGGTACCTTTTCCCCATCACAAATCCAGTATGTGGCATTCAGCATCCTCCCCAACTCTCTGAAAGCTGTCCCCAGCCCCATCCCACCCAGAAGCCAGGTGCATCTGATGTTTGCAAGGGTGGAAGAGACAAAGTGCTGGGTTAAGCTGTAAAATCTCTCAGGGTTGCTGCCGAGTCAGTCAAAGGACCCTTTCAGGGACTGTAATTGCCAGAACCAAGCCTTTCCCAGCCACAAGGGTTAATAAGTAAGCTCCCATTTGAAGCCTTGCCTAACACTGCCTCTCCTTGTCCCTTGTCTCCCTTCAGTGGGCTCCCAGGACAGCTTGCTGGAGATCACCTTCCGCTCAGGTGCCCTGCCTGTGCTCTGTGAACCCACCACCCCTAAGCCAGAAGACCTACACTCGCCGCTGCTCGGTGCTGGCTTGGCTGACTTTGCCCACCCAGCGGGCAGTCCCTTAGGTAGGCGTGACTGTTTGGTGAAGCTGGAGTGCTTTCGTTTCCTCCCATCTGAGGATACCCGGCCAATGGCGCAGGGTGAGCCGCTCCTGGGTGGCCTGGAGCTCATCAAGTTCCGAGAGTCAGGCATCGCCTCAGAGTATGAGTCCAACACGGACGAAAGCGAGGAGCGTGACTCATGGTCCCAGGAGGAGCTGCCACGCCTGCTCAATGTCCTACAGCGGCAGGAGTTAGGTGACAGTTTGGATGATGAGATCGCCGTGTAGGTGCAGGGCAAGGAGTTGGCGGAGGTGGCAGCATGATGCCAAGGGGGTCAAGTCTGCCTGTTGCGTGGCAGGGGATGGCCAGGGAAGGCGTGAGAATAACACCCATGGCGGAGAGTGTGGGGCTTACGAAGAGGGTCAGGATTTTGCTTTGGAAGGTAAATCGGGGAAGAAATTGGATTCCCAGAGACAGGAATCAGCGCCTGCATAATGCTAACGACTGAAGGGGTGGAAGCAGGGCTTCCCAGAACCTAGGGCCTTGGGACAAGGTCCGTCTTCAGAACCACAGTTCCGGAAGGCCTGCTGCTACCGCTATTGCTATAGTCAGGTTCTACTCAATCTCCCCTGTGACGCTCACACGCTCCTGTCTCTGTGGTGCGGATCAGTACGGGAAGCCATCGGTACCTTCTCGGGTACTTTGTTTTTGGATATCAGGATGCTACAAGTTGCCTAACCCTCCCTTGAGCTATAAGAGAATTCCCTCCCCAGGCCCTGGCTGAGACCATAGAGGCTGGATGCCCTGGGCTCCTGGGAAAGGGAGGCTATGCCTGAGTCTGGAGTTGAGGGGAGTCACAAGTCAGAGTGGCTAACTAGGAGTTTTCTCTAGCTGGGTGTTGGCTGTTGCCTCTGAGGAAGCTGGGAGTTTTAAGACAGTTCAGGACCCTGCTGGGAGAGCCCAGGGGGAGGATAGCTCATTGCTGCTGCAGCTCACTTAGGTTTGATTCTTCACTTTGGAAACCCTGCCCCAACCCATTTCCTGCTTGCAGCCCAGCTCATATACATAAGGCCAAGAACTACCCTAACACTCCTTTGTGACAGTGATATGCCTTTGCGCAAGTCTCCGAGCCCAGAGCCCTCTTGCCTTACCTCTGTACCTGTCCCCTCCACTGGGCTGTAGTGGTCAGTACTGTGCAGCTGTGGGGGGTGGGGGGGTTGACGGATGCAAGCTCATGGCTGAGATTATCTACCCTTCAGAATCACTGCCACTTAGATCAGGGACCACAGACATGGCACTCCAGCCCATCTCTCTGCGAGTGTGTGCCTTGAGCACAGGTGTTAGAAGTGCAGCTTTAATCTCTCACCATCTAGGCCCTGCCTAGGGGTCTCCACTCAGTAATGGGCTGGCTTTGCTCATGAGAAACCTGCCCCCCATAAGACCTTAACTGATTTCATAGATTTTCCAACTCCTGAAAAGATAGCCGAGACATGTTCAAAGTCATATGATTGGCAGTGGGAGGTGAGGGGTAGGAGTAGGAGAGTAGGGTTGGGGGGGGGGGGTCGTTCATTTTCATCCTGGACAAGCGTAGGCTGAACCGCAGTGTTATCATACCGACCGTTAATAAGGATGGAGTTGCCCAAATGGAGTTCTTCAGCCCCAGCTTTGCTTTGGAAGTATCTGAATGCAAGCATGGCCCTTTCTTACAGCTACAGTGAAGTTTCTTTTAAACTAAACAGTCAAGTTAAAGGAAATTGGCATAGGTTTACATTATTACTCCCGAGTGTATCAGGGTGTGGTGTGTGTGTGTGTGTGTGTGTGTGTGTATGTGTGTGTGTGTAAGGGAAGCAAAGTCATGCTTTTGAACTTGAGACGTGACTAGAAAGAGCTCCAGAGTGTTGGGATGAACAATAGCGTTGTTTCCTTTTCCCACCCTGCATTTAGTTGAAGAGGTAAAATTCTGTTGATTTTCTAATTAGCCGTTAGAAGGAGGTCCAGATACACAAGGAAGGAAGAATTTGAGATGTGAGGTTCCCAAAACTGCAGGAGCAGCTGGCAGGAATCAAGTTTGGCTGAGCCTGTCTAACTTACTCAGTCCCAACCCAGGATCCCTTGAGTCTAGGACCTTTGGATCCAAGCTTTGGTATACCTGAGAGAGCGGGAGGGTGTTCTGTTTCCTCAAGGGCCACCTTGTGAGCAGAGGCCAAGGATGAAATTGGGGACCAATGGAGGTGCACGGACTGCGAGTGGATAGGGCTAGAGGAGAGTGAAGAAGTGCGTGGGGAAGATGATGGTTGTTTAAAAGCTTGTGAAAGGGAGAAGTAGAAGAATTGGAGAGACTGTGAATGGATGGATGCTGACTTGAGACTCATGGAACACTTTTGCCCTTGGTTTCTGCCTTCTTTGACCCTCCCCTTCTTCTCTGGAGAATTCATTCATGTGCTGGTACCCTCCCTGGTAAGAACTAAACCTGTACACACTTGCTATGTGGAAATGGGACACAAAGAGTGGACCTAGTGGTCTTGTGGGGTCACCAGCCACCAGCCCTCCATGGAGGCCAATGGACAGGACAGGCAAGGCTGCAGATCTGATCTCCCAGCAGCATCCTCCGCCTTCCTTGCTTCTTGCTCTGCTAACTCAACTCTGCCTTTCTCCTTCCTTCTACTCTGCCCATACTCTTTGTGGAGGACAAACGGACACCAGGGGTTCCTTATTGAAGCCTGCCCCAGGTGCCAGAAAGCTCTTGGGCGTACAAAGCTTCTCAGCTGCAGAGGCAAGACAGAATTTCTCTGCACAGGATGGACTGCCTATGGGAACTGAAAACTATATTCCTTATCTTCCTGCTTATATTGATGCTGTCTGTAAAAACCTTTCTGAGCCTCGTTCCTCTCAGCTAACCTTGTTTATGAGTTGTATTTCTTTAGACTCTGCTTGACTGCTTTCCCATCTCCCCCCCCCCCCCCCGCTAGCCCTCTGCTTCCTGAAACCGTTGTGTGTCATTAACTGTCGGATCAGCTCTCTGGGAAATGATTCTGTTGATGTAAGTGCACTTACTCCCTGGATGTTGTCACTAGTTAGTGGCTTTTGCTAAATAAACCTTTCTTATTTCTAAAAGCTTTTCCGTTGTCTCTCCTTGCTTCTTCTATTTAACCCGCTTCTCTGTCCCCTTCCCTCGCACCCACTTCCTAAGCTAGGTATCGTCAGCTCTGGGACACAATATAGAAAGAATACATATTTCCTGGAGGGAAGGAGCCAGGTAGATCCTTGGTTGCAGGGACTGTGAACCAGTCCTGCAGGGTTGGACAGTCTGCTGTTGTTAACTGGAAATATTTTTGCTGGGGGACATTTGACAGTGTTGTGATGCTTCCTCATTGCTCATAGCTAGGGGATAGATGGTTTTGGCATATAGAGGGTGGAAATCAGAAATCCTACCATACATAGGAGAGCCTTGACAAAGAATTATCTGGTCCAAGGCCATTAAAACAGAGATTGTAATCCCCCAGCCTCTACCCAGTTTTTCAGATTCTTATGACCCCAGGTCTTTTCAGACTCCAGATACCATTAGAGTATGCAGGTAGTGGTAGTGAATTTGTTTTAAAAAAAAACACTATGTCATTGTTTCTACAATATCTAGGATCAAAATTATGCAATTTTACTGACTCCCGAACTCTGAGATTGCTCTTTGGTAGTTGTCCCAAAGTGCCCATTCCAACCAAGTGCCATACAGAGAACAAAACAAGCTCCTCCTCATTTCTTCCCAAAAGTATTGCAGTGACAAGGATTCACCGATAAATCCTGGCATGTGGGAGTATGGGCCTCACGATGCAGCCTTTACTTTTCTGACTTCCAAAAACTGGGACTTTTGGCTGTTTTGAAGGCAGGCAGCTGTTAAGTCTGGTGCTTTGTCAGGCCCAGGCCAGAGGCAAGACCAGGAAGGCCATTAACCAGGCTTATGTGCCCTCTATTCTCCTCTGACAGTGAAGTGAACTGGGCTGTTTCCTCACCCGTACACTGGGATGGTGCCTGCCCTATGCAGCTTTCATGAGAGCATATGAGATTGCATTATAAAGACCCCAGCAGAGATAGCTAACACCACTCCAGGGGACACAGTACAGCATCTTAGTGCGCTTCCTCCTTCCCACACCTGTGCTGGTAGGTACAGGAACTGCTGGGCACCTTTTTCTATGTTCTAAAACTACATGGGGCTTGGTCCTAGGTTATGGAGTTATGATGCCTTTCGGTATATTAAATGCAAAATGTTCAAGGCACCTTCCTGTCCCTAGGTAGCAATGAGCACAGGGTGGTCCCTTCTTTAGTCCCGGTGGCCGGTCTTCCTCTTGGCTGCTTGGGTCTTGTAAGGCAGAGGTCCCATTCATTTCCCCAGGCCGTGGTAAACCCAAGAGGCCTCTCCTGTGTATGCTTCTCACTGTGCCTGCTAAGGAGCCCTATCAAAGGGACATGCCATATATGTACAACCACACATGTTAAGATGCCACCTTCCAGCGCTCAGTGGCTTTTCCAGTTAAGAAACACAGCATGGGTGCTAGAAAGGCTCACCAGCTACATATATACCTTGGGGGATGGTATCCAGGGAGTGATGTCAGGTTGCCTAGAGACCACCTGGCTTCTGAGTGGCCAGGTTTGTGGCCTAAAAATCCCAGCTCTTGAGCCTGACAGTCAAGACTCTACTCTTGCTGAGAAGGGAGGGCACAGAAAAAGCCGTGAAATACAGGACTTGATGAAGAGTCAGGGTTGCTCTCACAGTATGTTGTGTAATGGGGATTTGAGCACAGCATTTTTCGTGCTGGGGAAACATAAGAATCATGCCTGATATTTTGACAACACAATTATACACAGAAGCCGCGCTGCTGAACCATAAAGTCAGGCTCCAGGAAGGGTCTTCGTGTATCATGGGAAAAACAAAGAAACTAAAACAATTAGTACCCAGTCCCCGAAAGGAAGTGCCCCAGTCTTCTTTCTGTTTCAGATTAGCGGAGAGGATGGCCCTGAAATGGAGTCAGGGTCAGGACTGTCCAGCTGGTGCATTGTATGGGGACATAATACAGTGTTATCACAAGGTTGCTTACCTACTTTGAAATGACTCAAAACAGCCATAGAAATATATCCCCTGGGATAAGCGTAATTCTGTCTGCTTTAGCAAGAGGTACACACTCCGAGTCATAGTCATGGTACATGGGGTGGAGACAGCCCATACTCCTTGTCTCTTTCCTGACTTATGCCCAGAGTCATATACTCCTCTCCAGAGGTACAAATCCGTCAAAAGGTTAATATCTAAGACACCTTTTAAACTACAGGAATTCTTTCTCTGCCCTTTGTCCTCAGTGTGGGCAAGGACTGTTCCTATAGACCAGCACCCTGGAGCAGTGGTTTCTTTCAATCTGAATCGCTTCAGAGTCATCATGGAGGATGGTTATGACACAGCTGGTCAGGCTCTTTCCCTGGAGTTTCTGACCAAGTAGGTCTGAGCATGATTTAAGAATTGTTTCTCTTATTGATTTCCAGAGGAGGCCGCTACTGCGAGTCTGGGTACCTTGCTTTCATGGTGGCTTAGAGGGTGCTCTCAAACTTCAAGTATATATAGTGTTTATCTAGAGGGGGGTGGGGACAGAGGTGGGTCTGGTGTTGCTAGGCAATCACTAATTGAAGATGAGGAAGATCCACTGGGTACCAAGAAGAGCTGATGGTGGTGGCCAGACTTGACCAAAGAAGTTTATGACTAACATCAATTTATTGTTACCTCTCCAGAGGCACAAGTAGGCTTTATCCCTATTTACTGAAGGTGTCAGCAGACTACTGGAAGGCCTAGCAACTACCCAAGGAGAGCCTGTCTCCTGGCCGGGCCTTCTGCTCCTTGCCCCAGAGAGCTTTAAGCTTGCGGTAGTACACCTTGCAGCTGAAACCCTCCTTGAAGCCCCCCTTGATGTGGCTCTTGAGGGAGTGCAAAGTGGGGTACATGCGGCAGCAGGCCGCACACTTGTAGCCATTCTGTTGGGCCGGGTGCCACTTGGAAGCCATTAGTATATCCTGGGATGTAATAGACTCCAACCCATGCATGAATTTCCTGTTGGCCTCCCTGGGGAATGTGTTCTCTTGGGAGGAGGAAGATGAGCAGACACTCTCAGTCACATCCTCAATAAAGCAGTTGTCCCCTCTGCCCTCTTCCCAGTCCACCTCTGGGAACCCATAGGCCTCCACGTGGCTCTCTTTATCTGTACATACGAAGTAGCTGTAAGGAGAAAACCAGGGCCGGTAGATGGTGCAGTTTCGCCTCAGCTGCTCCCCATTCTGGCTGTCCCTCAAGTCTGCAAAGGAAAGGGCAGGATCTGAGTTTGGGGCTGAGGGAAGATTGAAGTGTCTGGAGGCAGTCAGGGAAAGCAGACAGACAGGCAGCCACAACCTCAGGAGACCTGTGCTCCACCTTGATGATGGCTGAGAGACCTCAGGTGGTGAGGGGATGGGAAGAACAGCCCAAGACATCCATTCCTGCTGCATTCTTTTCCTGCTAGGGAAAATAGCCACTGGGTGTCTGGGCTGGAGACAGACCCTGCCGCCCTGTGTAGACACCACTTGACTTCTGACCTCTAAGGATAGGCAAGGACAGGTAGACAGATATGTGACATCTTAGAATCTTTCTGCCACCAATGGTTTGCCACCAACTTTTCCAGTCTCGGTACCCATTCTAATCCATAGACTGCTGAGACAGAAGCTGGCTCTCCACATGAGCTTGGCAGAGAGGACTGGGGACGTAAGAAGCCTTCATGGGCCTATGGGCCTCTTCTAAAGGAGGTGGGGGGACGGGGAGCACGTGGTGAGTGGATTTGCAGACACCCTTCCCTTTGGGGTTCTGCTCCTGTCCCTTTGTAGCTTCCCACATGGCCCTGTCCTGAATTGGAGAAGGCCTCACCTGGAGAGACCGCGCATCCCATGCCAGAAAACATTGCTTTGGTACTGCGGTGGCAGGGCCTGAGCTGGGCTAGACGCCTCAGTGGGTACCTCTGTCTTTGCAGAAGAAACAGTGGTGAACTGAGCAAGACTGACAGTCCTTTTTGGGGGAACTTCCAAGATATACTTTAGAGGCTCACCTTCTCTGTGTTTGGGGATTTGAAAACTGATGCAAAGCAGTGACCTCTGAACTCAGACAAGCTGACCTGTTCTAGGTGGTGTCCCAGGAAGTCAAATATAGGGACGTTTCTTCAGACCTAAGAAACATACTTTGGAAACCAGAATATAAGATTTGGCCAAGCCGGCAACATCATGTCTAGCATGATTAAAGCCTTGGTTTCAAACTTTATCACTGGACTTGTCTCAGATGGCACCTTTTCTCCTTGGCCCACGCCTCACCTAATGTTCCTGCTTATCACATGTAGCCTAACCACAAAACTCTGGAACACAGGTTCCAGGATGGACGCTCTGGTCACAGCCCACACAGGCAAGTTGCACGGTCCCTGTGAGAATGAGAAGCAAGCCACATTCTCCAACTGAAGCATTTCTCAGAGGGTGTGTAGGGGCCCTTGTTGCCTTTTGTTTGCTGAAGTTGCTACTAAATCTCAAATGAGGAATTCAGTAAGAAAAGTTTACAGTCATCTAGGGTTGGGGATTAGCTCAGAGGGAGAACACTTGCCAAGTGTGCATGAGGCTCCGGGTTTGACCTCCACTAGGTGGCTCTGCCTTGAACCCGTGGCAATGGCTGAGCTTTGAGGAGACAGAGTTTAAACTTTTCTCTGTAGAGGCAAAGGGATGTTTAGGAGAACTCCCACAGCAGTACAGCTCAATTCCAGCGAGCATAGGAAGCCCTAGAGAATCTTGTTCTGAATCATTGCATCTGGGATCGAGGCCTGGGAAGCTGCCTTTCTCGGCTTCCAAGATACTCACACTGAAGAGCCAGGATCACACTTCAGTTGACAAGTTCTCACGTGTCTCCCTTTGTTCCTCCCTGCGCTCATCAGTTAGCCTACTATTTGCCACTAACTAATGTTTTTTTTTCTCCAATTTAAGACCAAGTTAATGGGAGGGCCTGCTCTCTATATAGGCAAATCACCCACTTGAGATTTTGTATAGAAGCTGCCTCTAAGGGAAAGAAATATGGCCACAAATGCTTTTGCTGTCTGTCCCTTGCCAGAGATTATGAATCAGCAAGATTTACCAGGAATGCAGTCTTTTGAAAACTTACATTCTCCCCCGACATTACTTGGCTTTCTCAACCAATCATGATCCTATAGCATGATCTGACAGGATCGTGTTTTTCAAACAAAACTCCACTGAGTTTAATGAAGGGAATCCCACATCTTTATGGTCCTAGTGACTGCAGCATTTACCTGGCAAGCTGGTGGCAAGTGAGGACATGATATCAGGAAAAGCACTCAGGGCAGAGGAAGAGATTTGCGGTCTAGAAATGGTGAGAAGTGAGAAGTTCTCCATGTTCTGACTACCACGAGGTATGGCGGTCACACAGATGCTCCCAAGAAGCTAGCCAGATTGTCTAGGCAGTAAACATTCTAAATGAAGCTGACATCACAAGGTCCCACGATTCCATTACGAGTTTAAAAGATGGATGTAGTGTTCTTGGATGCAAGACTTTGGCCTTTTAAAAACTTAACTACTTTTTTGTTTTCATTTTTCCTCTTAAAATTTTTAATCATTATGCAAAGGATTAGTTATCATTATAGAATTTTTGAACAAAGTTGTGTTTTAGTAGATTCTTCTCCCTTCTCTGCCCCCTCTAACCACCCAACCCCCACAGCCTTCCCAGCATCTTCTTGTTTTCACATCCATGTGTCCTTATGTTCTTTTCCACTTTCCTTAGCATCTCTTTTTATTATTTCTGGGTCTCTTTTTCCAGTATTTTTTTGGACCTTAACGACCCTGACTCTTAAAAGATGTCCAGCTTTTAATCTTTCTGAGTTGGGCCGCCTTGTTTAATATTATAATTTCCACAGGTGCTAGACTAATTCAACAGGGGACCTGGAAATAAACTGGCAAAGCTGTAGCCACCTAATTTTTGACAAAGGTGTCAAAAGCGTGCAACAGGGAAAAGACAAATGGTTCTAGCGAAACTGCATCCGTCTGCAAAAGAATATAGTCAGACCCGCGGTCCTTCCTCCCATGCAAAGGTGACTTCAGAGTAGATCAGAGACAACTACAACCCAGAAATGCTGGAATTGCTAGAGGAAACATAAATACATTTCAAAGTATAGCTATCGTCAAGAGCTTTCTAAGCAGAACTCCAGGGACTCAGGAAATAGCCCCAGGATGGAACTGCATGAAATTAAAAAGCCACTGATAGCAAAAGAAACTCTCGATGGAGTGAACAGGTATCCACAGATGGAAGAAAGTCTCTGGCACCCATACTTCAGGTGGGGGCTATTGGCCAGAATCTAGCTAGCTTGGTTTCTTTCTTTCTTTCTTTCTTTTTCCTTCCTTCCTTCCTTCCTTCCTTCCATCCTTCCTTTCTTTCTCTTCCTTCCTTCCTTCTTTCTTTCTCTTCCTTTATTTTTCTGTCTTCGTTGTTGTTGTTGGTGGTGGTGGTTTTTTGTTTGTTTTGTTAGTTTTTGTCATTCCTCAGTAGCCTATCTTGGCTGAGAGAGCCCAGCCAGAAGGAAGACAATTGTAGAGCCATGACGGTGGTGTCGTTTGTCCCCTATTTTCTTTATGCGTGTCCCCGTTTCGTGTTAACATCCCCATGTGTTCCCATATCTAGGACCCTCCGTCCTCTGAGAGTGACCACCTTGCTTTCCTTCTTTCTTATTTTCCTAGCCTCTCCCTCTACTCAGTATTTTTGTTGTCTTGTTCTATTGGTTGTGTTGTTTAGAACATGCTTTTTGATACACATTTGAGAAATAATTTTAATTTCTAAAGTTTGCAAAACTTAAAATTAGTACAAAAACATCCATATACTGTGTAGGTAGATTTTCCTGTTTTAACGTTTTATCCCATTTGTGTTATCAGTTCCTCTTCCAGTCATAATTTGTGTGTATACAAATTATGCAGAAGTGTATGCATGTGTGTGTGTGTTTGTGATTGGGAATGAAACTCAACGCTTTGTATTTGCTGAGTAGGCACCCTACCACTGAACAACATTCCCACTCCTTAATATGCTTTGTTTATTTGAACTATTTGGAGGTAAGTTACGCTATATCCTTTTATACCTAAACACTTCAACCTATATTTCCTAAGGTTAGGGATCAGATATTGTTTCTAACTGCTGGTGCTCTTTTGGGCAGGTGGCTTCCTCCATCCTACTTCCCTCATTGACAGGTGGTGTGCTGATGAGACTGTGGACTCCGGGGCCGCTTTATCTCTCTGCTTTCCTTTCCTATATAACAGTTTGGCGCCTTGGCAGGGCGTAGAATCAGAGTAAAAGATGATTGTGACCCTTGGAAGAGAAGATTCGGGTGCCTTATTCTGGATCATCGAAGTCCATCAACTTAGCTACCCAGAAGTGGTTTGGATATAAACGGCAATGTTTACGCACTGTCTGAGAAAGACAGTCCCATCCTAAACTCCCGACTATGACCATCTTGTAGAAGCTCTCCGAGCATTTATTCCCAGCTTCCTGAACATTTGAAGGAATGAGGGAACCTAATTTCCCTCCTGTCTCTCCCCGTGGTTGGCTAAGGCTGCTAGAATGTTGGCAGTGTACACTGAACTTTAATATTTTGGTGGCTCTAAGGTTGTTGACCATGTCATTTGGGTCACCATGGTGTAAGGCAAAGCTCATGGGTCTTGGGGTCAGGTTACATGATTTTGAATCCCCTTTTCCAACAGTTGCCTCTGTGGTGGGCAGCCTCTGCCACTTGGCTTTTCTGTACTGTTTCTTTAGACTGAGTGAGAGTGTGTGAATGGATGTCTTCCTGGATACAATGTAGCAGTTTACATGTGAAAGGCGCGTGGATGTGAGTTATCTGCACAGGGTTCAAGTGCAAACTAGGTACATAGAATTCTTGTAAAGGGGGCCCAATATGTCGGGAGGGAAGTTGGGAAGGCTGTAGTAGTGTCTTTTCGTTGTTTTGAAAACACGACCCTGTTTTGATTTAGCTACTGGAGAGTCTATGGGAACTTGGACTTTCCATGGTTTGCTAAAAAGGTTTGTGGCACAGCCTTGTTCCTGTGTTGTTGCTGATGGCTCAAACAGGAGATACCTCTCTCACAGTGGTTGGTCACTACATAAATGTGTCTTTTTCTCATTTGTTCCCCACCTGCCTTTCGAGCCCTTTTCTCGGACAGGTAAGATCCCCTCTTCCTTGTGGATGATGTATTTTCCCAAATACCCCACCCCTGCTTGAGTATGTGCATGTAATGGGGTGTGACTGGGGGGCTCCCTGCTGGATCCAGTCATCTGCCAACCATTGTCACTGTTCTCAGTCACCAAGACTGGGGCTGAAGGGACAGAGTGTGAGAGGGCCATTAGCAGGAAAGGGGCCCACGGTGGGGACGACAGAAGCCAGCTAGACAGAGAAGATAATGTTCCCTAGCCTGCGCTCACAAGTGCTTGTAGCCACCACCACAGCGAGGGCTTGAGTGCTTCCTGAGACTCTCCCCAAGTCTGGAACCAGCCTGAGTGACTGCTTCTATTTATCAGCCCATCATTGACATGTGGGTTTTCTTTTTTCATAATTCACATAAAAGTCAAATTCAATTAAACTAATTTATTAAATGCTTGTTGTTATGCAAGACCTTGTGGATAATGAAAATACTCTAAGATTCTATAGCCCCTTTCGAGGGCATTCCCATTCTGTTAGATAGACCAGGTGTATTTTTGAGGAAAACTGAGGTGATGATAAAGAAATCATATAATAGATCCACTTTAAATTGCTGAGTTTAAAATATTCACAGAGAAGTACAGAAAATCCAGATGAGGTATCATCTAAGTTGTTGGTTAAAGGTGTGCTTCAAAAGCTCTCCTGATTTACAAATCACATTGATAGGCAGTTTTAGGGTTTCCACCTTAAAAACTGGGTGTGTTTGCTCTAATAATATATAGAAACCACCAGAGAAATAGGAGGTCCGGGAAACAGTGGAGAACTTGCTATTCCTATTACACACCTATAGACCATTGCATATAATTCCTTTCTCTTCTCTGCATTTTCTGGATGGGGGCGGGGGAGAGGGATAGTAAAATTAGTTTCCAAATAACCTTGGCCAGCTTGTGGAGTACCTGAGTAAATAAAACGAAAGGATTTAAGTCATGATAGGCAAATTAGGCCAAAGTGTATGATATGGTAAGATACACTCTTAGAGAATGGTCAGGAACAGCTATGGGGTAGGCTGAGAGCTGTGCCAGTGTACTGGGTGCACATCTGGAGTCCAAACAGCTGGGGACTTGTCCCAAATTCCCTGGCATGTTCCTACCACCACACAGTAATTCCATCCTAGGAGCCCTGAGGACCTGCCAGCCCATATTCCATGAGAAAATGTGTTCATGGGTCAAGGCTACTCAGAGGTAAAGACCATGGAAGTCACCCATGGGTGATAACTCCACTCTTCTTCCCATCGCACTTGCCCTGCCACCCAGGGACCCTTCAAATACAAGTGAATCTAGGTGACTGATCCAATGGGGGATCTGTTAACTCAAATCACAGGAAGCAAAGCATCCCCCCCTGGTCTGGAACGCAGCAATTCAGGACAAATGAGACAGAACATGAAGGCGTATCCTCAGGCAATCATAGGAAAGCCTTACTGAGATAGACCCTTAGCAGAACTATTGGCAATGACAGTCCAGGGACCACATGCAACCTCTCTTCGTCCAGATAGACAATAAAGCTATAACAATGGTCACAGATAACTGAGGCTCCAAGTCTGGCTCCTTTAATGACCTACACGAATGCCTAGGAGTCACCGCGTCCTGGGGTTACTATTGCTGTGATGAAACACCATGACCAAAGGCGAGTTGGGGAGGAAAGGGTTTATTTAGCTTACATTTTCACATCCATAGACCATCACTGAAGGAAGTCAGAACAGGAGCTCAAACAGGGCAGGAACCTGGAAGCAGGGATTGATACAGAGGCCGTGGAGGGATGCTGCTGACTATGTTGATCCCTGTGGCTTGCTCAGCCTGCTTTTCTTAGAGAGGCCAGGACCACCAGCTCAGGGATGGCACCACCCACAATGGGCTGGGCCCTCCTCCATCAGTCACAAATTATAGGCTTGCTTAGGGTGTCACCTTATGGAGACATTTTCTTAGTTGAGGCTGGCTCCCTCCTCTCTGATGGCTCTAGCCTGTGTCGAATTGACATAAAATTATACAGCACCCAGTGTGTGAGCAGCATAGGAGAGCCTGGAGCTCTAACTGTCTCAACAACAGACCTCAAGGCTGCCGCCTCTTGCCCTTCCTCATGCTTCACTGGCCAAGTGGATTGGGGTAGTTCATTTGAGATACTCACTGAATACCTGCTGTGTACCAGGCCCACGCTTGGTGTTGAGGATATAAATGCAAAGATACATGATGTGTGGCCTCAGCCTTGGGAGTGTTTACCGCCCAGTAAACTAACCCTCAAGCCAATTGTTCAAGCCATTCAGAAGTCCCAAGAGGAACATCTTCCATAGCCATTCTATGACCCAAGTAGAGGACGGAGCCCAAGACTCTGGCTTAGAAGGCCTGAGTTCTGATCCCAGCCAATCAATAGCTAGTATCGTGATATCAGGTCCTCCATGACCACTCTGAGACTCTCCGTAGTCTAATGAACTTCTTTAGTTGGTTTTCATGGAGACATTTGTCCTTCACTGGAAGCAAGGCCCTGATTGGCTACCTGATCTCTGTGTCTACAAGTTTACCTATTCTCCTAAGTTTCACCCCAGGAGACCTTGGAAGCTGCTGGCCCATATTCCATGGAGAGGATGTGTCACAGGTGTCTTTCAGTAGGCAGCTCCCGACACAGAATCGGCGCCCAGTGCCCGAGGAGAGAGAGCAGCATGTGCTCGCCCCAGTGCAACCCGGTTGCCTTTCATGTCTCATCTTCATTTTCTCTCTGCTTCAAAGGGTCTGGCGACCCTGAGACCAAAGAGGTCAAACCATGAGTCAAGGAAGCTGGTTTCAAGGAATATACTTGACTTTTTATGACTGGAGTCAATTACTGATTGACCAGGGTGGGGAACAACTGGAATTTTTGGTCTCATGTCCTATCACAAGAAACTACCCTGGAAAGTTTAAAGGCATCTTTATGGGAAACTTCCAACTTCTGTGAGTTGATAAATGTTGAGTGTATTATAAAAGAAAGAAAGCTGAGTAACAGAGACCAGAGTGCCCCTCCCCTCTGCTTACATGTCTCTCTTCTTTGTTTATAGTTGACCACAGCATGTTTGAGAATCTGAACACAGCCCTCACTCCAAAGCTCCAGTCCAGCCGTTCCTTCCCGCACCTGTCCAGAACTATGGCCCCAAACTCCATCACCCCTGGCTCTGCAGAACCAGGAGGACCAGGACTGAGGGTGGGCAGCAGTCAACACCTTAAGAACCTGGGCAAAGCCATGGGGGCCAAGGTCAATGACCTCCTGCGAAGAAAGGAGCCCTCAAGCCTGGGCAGTGTGGGTGTGACGGAGATTAACAAGACCGCTGGGGCCCAGCTGGCTGGTGGGGAAGATGTGGCCTGTGGAGCCTGGCTAGAGGATGAAAGGTGAGGCCTCTCAGTTGCCCGTTATCCCACTTGAAGGGGTAGGAACATGGGCAGATTATACTGTCTTCAGAGGAGAACAGACCCAAGGAGGGGATGAGCAGTTGGCAAGGAAAACTGAGATAGACCTGTGTTCTTGAGAGCCCACTTCAGCCTCTATAGCCAGAGAAAGCATTTTCTGACTGGGTGTTATGGCCTTAGCTCTGCTTCACACTGTAACCCAGGCTAGCCTGAAGCTCACTTTCTGACTCAAACTGACCTCCAATTCATGGCAGTTCTCCTGTCTTGGCTTTCTTGGGATTATAGATGTGAGCCCCCATGGCAGGTGTAGATATATTTTCCCTTGCGAGTGACTCCAGTTCAGAGAGATAGCTGTGCCTCTCAGTTAGTATTTGGAACTGAATTTGAAGCCTGGTATTGCCCAGAAACTCCCCACGTGGGTTCTGATGCCAGCCATTCCTGAGAACTGTTGCTATAGCCTGAGTGCCTAATAGGAAGGGAGAAACCAGCTGCTACCACTACTTCCATTTCCACGCAACAGCTCCTTTCTGGGCCTTGGTGCCAACACCTATACCAAGAGCTCATGCGCCCTTTCTCGAGGCCCAGTACTCGGGTTCCACGAGGACTGGGATCTTTATCCAGCCTCACAGAGGCAGCACTCTTTGCCGCTCTGAGCACTGAATGAGGAGGGAAGAGCCCTGTAGCTAACTGAGCTGAAGTTGCTAAAATCTGCACTCTAAACCCAGAATGAGCACTCAACAGAGGAAGCAGATACTAGGGAAAGACAGGAGAGGCAATCTGAACGAGCAGCCAGAGTAGAGACCCAAGAATGTGTATAAATCGGTGTTTCAGCCATCATAAAGCCTGGGTGTTTATTGTCACGGTCTTGCAGGTCTGTCCAAGAAGCCTTCCCTCTGCTAGAACCTCCACCTCCCATAACCCGGAAGCGAACCCCTCGGGCTCTGAAGACCACCCAGGACATGCTGATCTCATCACAGCCTGTCCTAAGCAGTCTCGAATACGGGACGGAATTGTCACCTGAGCAGGCCCAGGACTCTCCCCCCACTGCCCCGCCTGTCTCTGCAGATACCTCTCGGCCAGAGTCTATCAGTGAAGTGGGAGACAGGGAAGAGGCTCTGCCCAATGGGGAGGTGTCCCTGTTGGTGCCTGACCTAATACACAAGAGCAACCAGGAGGAACCCAAGCTGAAAGCTAATGAGTGCAGAAAAACCTCCTCCCTGGCTCCCATTGAGAGGAATGGCCTCAAACTCAGCTTGAGCCCCATCAGCCTGGCTGAGTCCTTGGAGAACAACAGCCCACCTCCACAGGCACGGACCTGCAGCCTTGACAAGGAGGGGCTTCACCCAGACCTGCTGTCCTTCGAGTAGTGCGTCTTGTCTTCCCTGCTGAGCACGTTCTTCACTGTGTCCTCCACTGCACACAGGTCCTTTGTCCCAGCTCTGCCACGCCCTCATCTTCCTTGTGGAAGGCAGAGCAGAGCCCCCCTTTTCTACCTAAGGGATTTGCGGGACCAGATGGCCAGAAGTAGTCCCAGTTAAGGAGTCTGCAGAATGGCAAAGGATCCTACTTCTCTGTAAGATCTTCTGGCTGTTGCTGGGACTCATCATCCACTCTCAGGCTTGTCCCAGCTTCCTACAGAATTATGGGGCCACCAGCCTAGGAGGATGGGCCTGGCAGAAATTCTCTTTGCTGTCTGATTAGATGCATATGCTCTCTGTTCTTTCATTCCCCACCCCAATCCCTGATTCTGCCCCTTTCCTCCATAATGGTGCCAGGACTCCCTGCCTTGATGGCAGTACTGCTAGGGAAGATTGGTAGGTTTGGCTTGGTAATGGGCAAGGCCTGACTGCAACCTGATCATAGTTCCTTCAGTCTCTAGGCCACGTGGAGCCCGAGCCACCATCATTCCTCTGTTTCTGGGTTAGGGCTAGAGGATGTTCTTTCCAGGCTTGGGACCTTGAGGACTACCTCAAAGGTTGAACCTTGTCACCAGGGTCCCCAGGGTTTTCCCATCCAGTTAGATGTAGCCCTACCTCTCTGGATAGACACTTAGGAAAATGGTATGGGCAGTTGTGCTGGGGTTCGTGTGTGTGTGTGTGTGTGTGTGTGTGTGTGTGTGTGTGTGTGTGAAGACGGGGGTAGGCAAGCCCCTGCAGAAGCAGCAAAGAGTGTTCTGATGTTAAAAAGGAGAGCTTGGGAACATGGACTGGGCCTATAAGAGCCAAGAGCAGAGATCACAGAGAAGAGTGAAGTCAGGACTGAGAAGGGGATCACTGAGAATCAGGGTAGCTTCTCAGGCCACTCCCCACCCAGAAGGAGGCAGTGCCAGGGCCTGGGAAGAGTGTGTGGGAGCCAGGGTGGAGCATGTGAGAGACTGGAATGTGCTGAGGGCTGTGGAGGCAGAGCAGATGCTGGCGAGTGTGTGTGTGTGCTGCTTTATGCTTGTGCTGAGGTTGCCTGAATTCCCTGCAGCCCCAGGCCTGCCCAGAGATACCCAAGCTGCTGTCCTTCATCCAGGTAAGGGCAATCTTCCTCTGCTTCTGCTCGCAGGATTTGTGTAAGGAACCAACAAGGCTTATCGACCCTTGACCAGCCCCTGCCTTCCAGGTTAACTTGCTTTGTATTCCTTTCTCCCTCCAGGGGCCCTATCGTGCTGTCTTCCCGTGGCCTGGAGGCTCTGTAGTGACCCCAGCCACAAGGGTCTTTGTAGCCAGAAGAGGACATCCCTATTCTTGAACAAAGAGGTCAGAGCCCCACAAGAAGGCTGGAGATGGTACATCCAGCCAGGGCAGGCCATGTAGCAGTTTTCTCTACTCTCTGTGGTCCTCCCCTTTTCTGCTTGCTTGGCTCACGGGTCTCACTTCCCAGTTCAGCATCACCAATGGGCTGCCCTCCTCCCAACCAGCAGACATCTGAGCTAACTCCTACAGAACCAGAAGAGGAGGCCTCAGCAGGATCCCTGGGATGAGGTTTCTTTTCTCATTTACTTGTTTAAGCAGCTGTATGGCTTCAGCCATCTCTGCCCTCTGACCCATCCCAGCTCCCTACAAAGTCCTATCTCTCCCTCTCAGATGAGAACCCGTGTAGCCAGGCATCTGAAGGCCCTGGTGGAGTATACAGGACTGTTAGCACATATGTATCACATGTGCCTTGCTCCAAGAGCATCCCAAAGATGTGACATCTGACCCTAAAGTCGGAGAAGTCCTTAGAACTAGACTTTGAGGACCTATGAATTTTCCCAGAATGATTTGTGATTACGCAAAACAGAGAGAGTTCAGGCTGTGGGGTGGGAAGTCTAAGCATGCACCAGAGAACAAGTCCAGTATAACCTGAGCTCTCCATACCAGAATCTTGGTTTGCTCCTCTAATGGGAAGCTCTGCCAGTGGCTGCCCAATGGGGCTGTTCCTCCCCAAAGATGAAGTGATAAGGTTGCCTAAGACCGATAACATGAGGCTTGGCTTACCTAAGCAATCAGGCCACTGCTGGAGTCCTGGCCCTCGGGCCCAGATTTGCCAAGAGACCCCACCATATTGTCCCAAGACCCCTGTAAAGGAAACTTTACAGTACTTTAGATGGCATTTGATGTTGAATTAGGTGCCATGGATGTCGTCTTGGCCATCTCCCTGCTACAGAAGTGATGCTGCTACCTCAGAAGGTCCTTTGAGACTGAGCCTTTTCTTAAATGCTGCAGATATGGCCTGGTGCTAGGGGCTAAGTGCTTCCCAGGGACCAGCAGGAACAAATCCTCTTGAGGGCTTTGACTCACACCAGTTCTTCCATCTAGGGCCGCGACAGGCTCACTGACCATCTCAGCAGTCTGGACTGCAGCACGGCAGCCTTCACAGTGAATCGAGATCCCCTGGGGGGCTTAGTTTTTGCGTAGCTTGATCTGCATGGGGGTGAGGGTAGGCTAATGGAGAGGAATGAAGGATATGAATTCTATGTTTAAAGAAGCTGGGACCTTTGAGCCTTTTCTTCCACTTCTTTCCAGCCCCATCGTATACCCCTGTTCAGTCCATAGCTTTACCGTGATAGAGCGATCACAAAGTAAGCTTCTAGAAGCCTGGAGAGAAGGTATCCCCTCCCCTGTCCCAGCCCACTCTTCTCTCTAGAAATGTATCTGTGAATGTTCTGTATCTGGGAGATATGAAGACATGTGTTTCGAATCCATCATCTTTTACAGAGCAGGGTTGGTCCCTGTTCGGAAGAACAAGATTATAGTTCTATTCTGGGTATTTTTTAGAGAGTTCATATTTATATTTTTAGAGATTTTTTTCTTGTAGAAGGAAATTACATAATAAAATGGTAATGTGTTTTGCTGGCTTGTCTTTTTTTCCTCCTGACTAGTGGAAAATTCTGGAGTCCAAGAGTCCCTGGGTAGGTGCAGAACCATGAAATTTTGCTTTGCAAACCTGCAAGATGGAGGAATGAGGGAGCTGGAAGAGATGGTGAAGGAGGCTACTGCAAACAAACCTCCAACTTGACACTGTTAGAGCAACAAGAATGCATTTAGGATGGACCGTGTTTTATGCCACTGACTAGCTGACTGCTGCAAGGGTCTCCACCTGTGACTTTCTGGACCATCACCATGATGGATACATGTCCAGCCCTCCTTGGGGGGAAGCTGTAAGGAAACTCAGATGCCCATTGAATCCTCTTTGAAGGTCCTACCCTAGGCTCTTCAGCCTGCTTCCATCACAGAGGGATGGAGCGACATGTTTGTGTGCACACTCACCACAGAGACCAGAGCAGCTCCCTTGAAAGGAGTTAGTTAGCATCAGGGACTAGCAGGGAAATATTCAAAGCTGTCGACTTGGGGGAAGTTGCTTTCCCATAGCTGCTCTGGACTGGGACAGCCCTTGGTGACATTTGCTGACGTCATGGACAAGAACTGGTGTGGCGTCCCTTTGCCATTACTGCTGTCAGATTTCAAGGTCCAGAGGACTCACGCTCTAGAAGCAGTTCTCAACCTGTGGGTCGTGACTCCCCTTTCACAAGGGGTCACCTAAGACCAATAGAGAGACAGGTATTTCTATTATGATTCATAGCAGTAGCATAACAGTATGATTCATAAGTTAGAATTATGAAGTAGCAATGAAAATCATTTTATGGTTGGGGGTCACCACCCCATGAGGAACTGTGTTAAAGGGTAGCAGCCTCAGGAAGATTGGGAACCACTGCTCTAGAGAGTCAAGGCTTTGATTTCCTCAGAAGGAAGATGGTAGAGAGGAAAAGGGAAGGGAGGGAAAGGGGCTTCCACTGCGTTCACACAAGCCATCCACATTACCAGAGGGGAAAGATAGGGGCCTTTTTGTCCAGACCTTTCATTCGCTGCCGTGACTAAACCTGGGTTTGGAGTCTATGGCCCAGTATGTTGAGGCTCCCTGGTTCTATGTCAGGAGCATCTCTCCATCAAGTGAAGGCTCTGAACTTTTCTGCATCTCACTGTGTTTTCCCAAGGGAACAAAGAAGAGAAAAACTGGGTTTTCTAAGCGAGCTTGCTTGCCCCACTGTGGGGCATGGCTATATTATTCCAAGAAAACAGGAGTAACACAAAAACCGACCCAGCGGTAGTCCTTGCATGGGGAAATGCATTGGAAATGCTTACAATAGCAACATTTGCCTTTAAGCGTGTGCTCTGGTGACCGTTCTTTAGGCGACCTCTCCCATGGGATGGTTTTGGGATCTGCTTCCGTCATCAATTCAGGTGTGAAATTTGCCTGTTACGAGCCCTCCTTTCCCACTGCTGTGCAAAGTTGGGTTTTTTTGGCTTGGGTTGGGTTTTTTGTTATTGTTTTTGCCTATAGACAAGTGTGCAGAAATGGTTATGAAAAAAAAAGTTTTGGGGGAAATTCTAAGTGTGGAAGTGGATGTGCACGTGATTCTTTTTCTGTGCTGGCTTCTAAGGTGAACTACTGGTCTAGAAACTAAAGGGACAAAGACTGCACTTTTATCCAGACATTGATGTCTTAGAGCATGGCAGAGCCACCCAAAGCAGGCCAGTTCATTTCACTGTAGGGATGTCCGTTTCCTCCAGGTTTACAGCGATTCCGAAGGGACACCAGTAGTCTACTGGAGGGCCTTAAGAACTCTTATTTGTTCCCAGGGTCTGTGCAATGCTGGTGGGGAACCTCAGCTGATATTCAAATGTAATGGAATTAGCACTTCTAAACAGCCCCAGATGCTGTCCCAAACTCAGAGAATTCCTTCTTGGTCAGTTTGTTCACCAATTTTGGAATCCCCCTGAGGTGTGGGGGTGCTAGGAGTGCTCGGGAGAGTTGTAGGCTTCCACTGCCCCTTCGTTCCCTGCCGTCCCACCCCTCTGGGTTTCTCAGTCCAGCCTGGCTATAATGATTATCTCTAAGATTTTGGCCCTTGAGATTCCTTAGATTCACTCAGTAGTGTTCCCCACACACACCCCTGCCCCCGAGAGTTAGGGTGCCTCACGGGGAACACCCCCTACCATGGCGCTCCTGGAAGTAGGGACAAGTACAGATAGCTCCTATGGGCAGACTCGCTACCTCCCTAAGTACCAATGGCATGTCTGCTCTTCATCTCCCAAGAAAGCTTGCTTTGAAAACTCCCAGTTGTCCAGTGGAAGCCCTGTGGAGGTCCCTCCTCCCCCGCAGAGAGCCTTCCTCTCTGCTGCCATCTGCACAGGGGGCACCTGATGAAAGTCCAGACTTCCAACTAATGAGAAAATTCCTCCACTTTCCGTATCTAGGGACCGACCCTCCTGAGACACAAGTCTTTGTGTCCAGCTTATCCCCAGCTGCTGCCATGATGAACAGACCAGCCCAAGGGAGCCTGGGGCAGCTCTACCCCCCCGCCAGGAAACTCAGTTATTAATACCGACAGGGAAAACAGTCCTGAAGAAATATTTAAGGACCAACTTGAATACAGCAGACCGCATTCTCTCCCGTGGGAGTTGCTAAAGATTTATGTTGGTTGCATGGCACAGGGAACGTGGCTTGTGTTTTCCTTTGCTATAGGAAAAGCAAAAGGCCTACAAATGAAACCTACCAACAAACTGTGGCTCCCCCACCCCTTTGGACTGTTTCAACAGTGAGCTGTTTCTAGTGCCATCTGCTTAGCTACCTTCTTTCCTAAAACAACCCTCCATTTGCCACCTTATCCCTCCTAAACTTGTGCTTCTTATGTAATTCCACTTGGCTCAGTCTGATGTTCGAGCACCTCCAAGTGTTCAGCCCACACTGTGGGCCAACCCACAACTCCCAGGAGGTTTAGGATGGTCCCAACCACTGAAGGATAACAAAGGGAGCTTCGTGGACTTCTGTGGCCAAGGGAAGTAAATTCTACCAGACCCGTGAAGGGCTGGAGACTCAAGCACCATTGATGAGTTCCCTATTCCTGCAATGGGCAGACCCAGTCAGCTCATGGTTCTGGGTAAACTCTGTTCCAGTCAGTCTTGCTGGCCCAGCTCAGTCTTTGGTCCTCTGTCTGGAAGAGTCAGCAGAGCTTGAGAATGCTCTGTAGTTGGTGAGGTTTGTCTGGGAGCTGTATCTTTTAGTCTGTGGGGGGTGACCGTGTGCATTACAGCTTAGCGGGAAGAGGGGGCTCAGGGACCTCGGCCAGGCCTTGATCAACCCGTGACTGTGGGTAGCAAATGCTGCAACCAGGCCTGGGGCCCTGTTGTGAAGCCTGCAGTGAGCTGTCAGATGGTTCTCTGCCAGGCCCCAACCTAACTCCCCTTCCAGGTTCCTGTACCACCATTCCATCTCTGCCCCAGAACCCCAGCACCCCAAATTGCCCAGAATTGCCTCTCTACCTTTGTTTTAGTTTTCGTTTTTGAGATGGGGCATGACTGCATAGCCTAGGCTAGACTTGAACTTGCCATCACTCTGCCTTGGCCTCCCAAGTGCTGGGCTTATAGGCATTCACCACCACGGCTGCCACATCTAAGCTTCAACCTTCCTTTCCTCTGATCTGGTCAGGCTGTGATAATTCATCCTTCACATCTCCACTGGGGCTTTTCCCTTCCGCTAGGCTTCCTGCCCTGACAACATCCTGCTGAGCTTTGAATGTGAAATGATGTGTTCCAAGCCAGGCTGAGCTTTATCTTCCCAAAGAGGGCCAATAGCTGGGGACCCACATATTCAAATATTTAAATGTGGGGAATATTTACATTCACAACACACCCCATGCCCTCTCCCCCCCCCCCCCACAGCACCCCACATTTTTGATCATGTGTCTCCCGCGTGGTTTGCAGGGCTGGCTGTCTTCCTCAGTGTCTTTGTCTAGAGCAGCCTTTCTGGGCCTGGTTGGTCACTGTGCAGTGGACTATGGGAGGCCATTCTCAAAATGGAAACTGACCAATAGGCCAGTGAGTAGCTCATGTATGTCCATTCAGAGCCTTTACTAACTCTGCTCCCTGGGTAGACGGGTGCCACCTTGCCACAGGGTGCCCAGAAACATGCTGATACTCAGGCTAAGGCAGGAATGCTAGCACCTATTGATGCCAGATAGATGCTTGCCCCTGAGCTCCAGTTCTTAGTACTCCCCTTTGCTATCCTAGGCCCTCGTGGGAAAGTCATTGTATTCTCCAAAGCTTCTGAGGAGTCCAGCAATCGTTCTGATCAATCTGTACACACCATCTCATATGCTTTTCTCAGGAACACTGCACAGGCAATCTGAGGAAGCCCAGCTTTCAGACACGTACTCTTTAACAATGTTCAGAAAAATCCACACATGAGTCTGTTAATTCTCCTATCTTGAGAGGGGTATTTCAGCAGCACTGAGGCATGGGGGAATGAACCTTACAACTGACGAAAAGCAGAATGGGTCCCGAAGGCCAAGGTTTTCAGACTGGGGGATTGCTCCCCTTCCCTGACTCACAGCGCTGTGTGCTTCCATCACACCAGCGAATAAGAAGTCCGGGAACTAGTCACGGCCCAGAAATAATCTGTTTTAGTTTGACCTTTTCTAGGGATAAATGCAATTTCCCTGAACACTGAATATTCTATTTAGTATGGGAATTTAGAGACCCTCTCCTCTGCCCTTGTTTTCCAGAAGCGGAGTCAGCAGACTGCATTTTGAAACCAGGGCGAGGAAGAATCGCAGTGGTGGCGCACGCCTTTATCCCTGTACTGGGAGGCAGAGGCAGGCGGATCTCTGTGAGGTTGAGGCCAGCCTGGACTATAGAGTGAGTTCCAGGACAGCTAGGGCTGTTACACAAAGGAACCCTGCCTTGAAACACCCCCCCCCCCAAAAAAAACAGAGAGAAAGAAAAAGAAGGAAGGAAGGGAGGAGGGGAGAGGGAGGGAGGGAGGGAGGGAAGGAAGGAAAGAAGGAAGGAA